CCATGCATTAAAGAAGATAACCTCGAAGACTGGCTGATAAATGTCTGACGCAACACACTTCAAGCCTAGTGGGCAGGATGTACACCGTGATGTATGTTTCTCAGCGATGTGTATGTCTCTCAGTGATGTCTCGCAATGGTGTGTATGACTCTGTGTGCAGGTGTGTTTTACGTAGTATAGTTGTGTGCAGGTGTGTAGGTGTGTGTTACATCCGTCCTGGAAATGTTGGGAAAGGCCGGCGTGAGTCTCCCCTTTCACCAAGCCTGGCCTGCCTGCCTGCCTGCCTGCCTGACCTGCCTGCCTGCCTGCCTGCTTGCCTGGCCTGCCTGCCTGCCTGCCTGCCTGCCTGTCTGTCTGTCTGTCTGTCTGTCTGCCTGTCTGGCCGGCTTGCTGCCATGCCTGCCTACATTCCAGCCTGCCTGCGTTCCTGCTTGCTTGCCTAGCCTGCCTACCTACCTTCCAGCCTACATGCAAGGTCACTGTTTCTCAACAGTAGCACCACAAATACCATGGACCGAATTGTAGGAGCCACCAGTCCCACGTCATTAACATATATTAACTCATATATTATCCAGCATATTAACATATATTACCCAGTACATTAACACATACAATACCCACACATTAACACACATTATCCAGTACATACTAGCCAGTATACTCAGGTTAACATAACCAGTGTCAGAAGACATACACTGTTTCCTGAGGAAGTAACTACCATCATGGGGAAGTAACTGAGGAAGTAACTACCATCATGGGGAAGTAACTGAGGAAGTAACTACCATCATGGGGAAGTAACTGAGGAAGTAACTACCATCATGGGGAAGTAACTGAGGAAGTAACTACCATCATGGGGGAAGTAACTGAGGAAGTAACTACCATCATGGGGAAGTAACTGAGAAGTAACTACCATCATGGGGAAGTAACTGAGGAAGTAACTACCATCATGGGGAAGTAACTGAGGAAGTAACTACCATCATGGGGAAGTAACTGAGGAAGTAACTACCATCATGGGAAGTAACTGAGGAAGTAACTACCATCATGGGGGAAGTAACTGAGGAAGTAACTACCATCATGGGGAAGTAACTGAGGAAGTAACTACCATCATGGGGAAGTAACTGAGGAACTACCATCATGGGGAAGTAACTGAGGAAGTAACTACCATCATGGGGGAAGTAACTGAGGAAGTAACTACCATCATGGGGGAAGTAACTGAGGAAGTAACTACCATCATGGGGAAGTAACTGAGGAAGTAACTAGCATCATGGGGAAGTAACTGAGGAAGTAACTACCATCATGGGGAAGTAACTGAGGAAGTAACTACCATCATGGGGAAGTAACTGAGGAAGTAACTACCATCATGGGGAAGTAACTGAGGAAGTAACTAAGATCATGGGGGAAGTAACTGAGGAAGTAACTACCATCATGGGGAAGTAACTGAGGAAGTAACTACCATCATGGGGAAGTAACTGAGGAAGTAACTACCATCATGGGGAAAGTAACTGAGGAAGTAACTACCATCATGGGGAAGTAACTGAGGAGTAACTACCATCATGGGGAAGTAACTGAGGAAGTAACTACCATCATGGGGGAAGTAACTGAGGAAGTAACTACCATCATGGGGGAAGTAACTGAGGAAGTAACTACCATCATGGGGAAGTAACTGAGGAAGTAACTACCATCATGGGGAAGTAACTGAGGAAGTAACTACCATCATGGGGGAAGTAACTGAGGAAGTAACTACCATCATGGGGAAGTAACTGAGGAAGTAACTACCATCATGGGGAAGTAACTGAGGAAGTAACTACCATCATGGGGAAGTAATTGAGGAAGTAACTACCATCATGGGGGAAGTAACTGAGGAAGTAACTACCATCATGGGGAAGTAACCGAGGAAGTAACTACCATCATGGGGAAGTAACTGAGGAAGTAACTACCATCATGGGGGAAGTAACTGAGGAAGTAACTACCATCATGGGGAAGTAACTGAGGAAGTAACTACCATCATGGGGAAGTAACTGAGGAAGTAACTACCATCATGGGGGAAGTAACTGAGGAAGTAACTACCATCATGGGGGAAGTAACTGAGGAAGTAACTACCATCATGGGGAAGTAACTGAGGAAGTAACTACCATCATGGGGAAGTAACTGAGGAAGTAACTACCATCATGGGGGAAGTAACTGAGGAAGTAACTACCATCATGGGGAAGTAACTGAGGAAGTAACTACCATCATGGGGAAGTAACTGAGGAAGTAACTACCATCATGGGGAAGTAACTGAGGAAGTAACTACCATCATGGGGAAGTAACTGAGGAAGTAACTACCATCATGGGGAAGTAACTGAGGAAGAACTACCATCATGGGGAAGTAACTGAGGAAGTAACTACCATCATGGGGAAGTAATTGAGGAAGTAACTACCATCATGGGGGAAGTAACTGAGGAAGTAACTACCATCATGGGGGAAGTAACTGAGGAAGTAAACTACCATCATGGGGAAGTAACTGAGGAAGTAACTACCATCATGGGGAAGTAACTGAGGAAGTAACTACCATCATGGGGGAAGTAACTGAGGAAGTAACTACCATCATGGGGAAGTAACTGAGGAAGTAACTACCATCATGGGGAAGTAACTGAGGAAGTAACTACCATCATGGGGAAGTAACTGAGGAAGTAACTACCATCATGGGGGAAGTAACTGAGGAAGTAACTACCATCATGGGGAAGTAACTGAGGAAGTAACTACCATCATGGGGGAAGTAACTGAGGAAGTAACTACCATCATGGGGAAGTAACTGAGGAAGTAAACTACCATCATGGGGAAGTAACTGAGGAAGTAACTACCATCATGGGGGAAGTAACTGAGAGAAGTAACTACCATCATGGGGAAGTAACTGAGGAAGTAACTACCATCATGGGGGAAGTAACTGAGGAAGTAACTACCATCATGGGGGGAGTAACAGTTACTGATGGTGCTGGAAGTTCCTCTTATGTGCAAGAATGTGTAATATCACTCTCATGCTGAGTCAGCAGTACTGCATTTAGAGGATTATTGTCGACAATAGTCAAGAAAAAGTGCTAATGACAAAAGAAGCTTTTGCTTTGGCAACATATCCCTGAGTAGTTTGATCAAGTCATGGCTTAATAAAGCTCTACTCAGAGCGAAACGCTTTCCCAGTGAATGCTCGTTGTGTAACGTTCGTTCGAAAGATATTTAGTGACGCCTCTTAAGTATCGTAATCAACACAACGCTGAGTTATTATCGCCGTTACAAGATCTGTCAGAGTGAAAGTGGACAAAGGACACACATGAGTGTCGTGTAAATAAAAACAAACAAAAATAGAGAGCGAGTATTGTTTTGTCCAATTTTCCGTAGGTCTGAACAATTCTGCCCAGGTAACTTACCAGTTTCTAAGAAGTGAACAGTTTGGTTCACAGTCTCGACCTTTGCGGCTGTGGCCACAGACAATACCACGGTGACACTGGTACTTACTACCGCGAAGAAAGTTAGCAAACAATGTTTAATGATACTGGCACTGTTGAGGAGGTTGAGAAGAGGTGATTACTCTTGCGTTAGTGTATACAGACACATGTAAATATGGGAGTTGTTGGTCTAGCAGTTGGTCAAAGTGTAGAGACCACTGACTCGGTCCCTCGATCATACTGATGTGAGTCAGCAAGACAAGCGGGAGGCTCTATGAGCAAGAGAACAGCAGTGCAGTCTGGTAGACTGTAAGAAACAAGAGAGCAGCAGTACAGTCTGGTAGACTGTAAGAAACAAGAGAGCAGCAGTACAGTCTGGTAGACTAAAAGAAACAAGAGAGCAGCAGTACAGTCTGGTAGACTGTAAGAAACAAGAGAGCAGCAGTACAGTCTGGTAGACTGTAAGAAACAAGAGAGCAGCAGTACAGTCTGGTAGACTGTAAGAAACAAGAGTACAACAGTACAGTCTGGTAGACTGTAAGAAACAAGAGAACAACAGTACAGTCTGGTAGACTGTAAGAAACAAGAGAACAACAGTACAGTCTGGTAGACTGTAAGAAACAAGAGTACAACAGTACAGTCTGGTAGACTGTAAGAAACAAGAGTACAACAGTACAGTCTGGTAGACTGTAAGAAACAAGAGTACAAACAGTACAGGTCTGGTAGACTGTAAGAAACAAGAGTACAACAGTACAGTCTGGTAGACTGTAAGAAACAAGAGTAACAACAGTACAGTCTGGTAGACTGTAAGAAACAAGAGAACAACAGTACAGTCTGGTAGACTGTAAGAAACAAGAGAACAACAGTACAGTCTGGTAGACTGTAAGAAACAAGAGAGCAGCAGTACAAGTCTGGTAGACTGTAAGAAACAAGAGAACAACAGTACAGTCTGGTAGACTGTAAGAAACAAGAGAGCAGCAGTACAGTCTGGTAGACTGTAAGAAACAAGAGAACAACAGTACAGTCTGGTAGACTGTAAGAAACAAGAGAACAACAGTACAGTCTGGTAGACTGTAAGAAACAAGAGAACAACAGTACAGTCTGGTAGACTGTAAGAAACAAGAGAAGCAGCAGTACAGTCTGGTAGACTGTAAGAAACAAGAGAACAACAGTACAGTCTGGTAGACTGTAAGAAACAAGAGAGCAGCAGTACAGTCTGGTAGACTGTAAGAAACAAGAGAACAACAGTACAGTCTGGTAGACTGTAAGAAACAAGAGAGCAGCAGTACAGTCTGGTAGACTGTAAGAAACAAGAGAACAACAGTACAGTCTGGTAGACTGTAAGAAACAAGAGAGCAGCAGTACAGTCTGGTAGACTGTAAGAAACAAGAGAACAACAGTACAGTCTGGTAGACTGTAAGAAACAAGAGAACAACAGTACAGTCTGGTAGACTGTAAGAAACAAGAGAACAACAGTACAGTCTGGTAGACTGTAAGAAACAAGAGAGCAGCAGTACAGTCTGGTAGACTGTAAGAAACAAGAGAACAACAGTACAGTCTGGTCATGTCAACACTCACCGCCTGGACAGTGATAGAGGTGATCATCCGCCTGTAAGATGAAACAAAAGAGAAGAGTTATTATCATGGTAACACTAGTTACTAATTAACAACTTCACTCAAACTAAAGTAATGAATATTAAAGATAAAATAAAAATCCTCATATAAAGATAAGTAGAAACAAAAAAATCACTACTAAAACAAGAGATGAGTCATGAAATATCCCTGAACATAAAACGTCTGACAAACTCCTGTAAAACCCACGAACTGGTTATTGAAAAAACTAGACAAGTTAACCTGATGAGATAGTTCGTAACCAAGACCAGATCTATATCTGATTTACCTGGTTTAAAGCCTATGTTGACAGTGGTTTAAAATACCGACAACCTGATGATCAAGACACATGTGCAACACTTAGGTGTCTTTATTGTTGATATGTATAAGTAGATCTAACTGTTGTATATATATGTATAAGTAGATCTAACTGTTGTATATATATCTTAATCATCAAAGTATATCTGCTACACGTGGGTCATTAAGGGTGAATTTCACCTCACAGTCAACAGTCAACGATACTTTAATACTTAAAATATTGATTAATGTATATAAGAGAGATTAAATTAAATTATCAATGTATATACACAGATATATGCACCTCTCCGTGTATATACACACAGATATATACACCTCTCCGTGTATATACACACAGATATATACACCTCTCCGTGTATATACACTTTATGGTGTACAATAAGATCACAGGAAACAGGTTACATATAAACATGCATTATAAGCATGATGTATATACACAGAGAGAAATACCTCATATTGTATATACACCGAGAGACAGACTTGATAGTGTACATTACCTTGTTTAGTACTCATAAATGTAATCTAAATAATACTTGGCTGCCAAACTTATATCCCCCCAGCATCACGGTGTATCCCCCAGCATCACGGTGTATCCCCCAGCATCACGGTGTATCCCCCCAGCATCACGGTGTATCCACCCAGCATCACGGTGTATCCCCCAGCATCACGGTGTATCCCCCAGCATCACGGTGTATCCCCCCAGGATCACGGTGTATCCCGCATCACGGTGTATCCCCCAGCATCACAGTGTATCCCCCAGCATCACGGTGTATCCCCCCAGCATACGTGTACCCCCACACAGGTGTATCCCCCAGCATCACGGTGTATCCCCCCAGCATCACGGTGTATCCCCCCAGCATCACGGTGTATCCCCCAGCATCACGGTGTATCCCCCAGCATCACGGTGTATCCCCCCAGCATCACGGTGTATCCCCCAGCATCACGGTGTATCCCCCAGCATCACGGTGTATCCCCATCCGTTATCCCCAGCATCACGGTGTATCCCCCAGCATCACGGTGTATCCACCCAGCATCACGGTGTATCCACCCAGCATCACGGTGTATCCCCCAGCATCACGGTGTATCCCCCCAGCATCACGGTGTATCCACCCAGCATCACGGTGTATTCCCCCAGCATCACGGTGTATCCCCCCAGCATCACGGTGTATCCCCCAGCATCACGGTGTATCCCCCAGCATCACGGTGTATCCCCCAGCATCACGGTGTATCCCCCAGCATCACGGTGTATCCACCCAGCATCACGGTGTATCCCCCCAGCATCACGGTGTATCCACCCAGCATCACGGTGTATCCCCCAGCATCACGGTGTATCCCCCAGCATCACGGTGTATCCCCCCAGCATCACGGTGTATCCCCCCAGCATCACGGTGTATCCCCCCAGCATCACGGTGTATCCCCCAGCATCACGGTGTATCCCCCCAGCATCACGGTGTATCCACCCAGCATTCACGGTGTATCCCCCAGCATCACGGTGTATCCCCCCGCATCACGGTGTATCCCCCAGCATCACGGTGTATCCACCCAGCATCACGGTGTATCCCCCAGCATCACGGTGTATCCCCCAGCATCACGGTGTATCCCCCCAGCATCACGGTGTATCCCCCAGCATCACGGTGTATCCCCCCAGCATCACGGTGTATCCCCCAGCATCACGGTGTATCCACCCAGCATCACGGTGTATCCCCAGCAATCACGGTGTATCCCCCCAACATCACGGTGTATCCCCCAGCATCAAGTTGTATCCCCCCAGCATCACGGTGTATCCCCCCAGCATCACGGTGTATCCCCCCAGCATCACGGTGAAATGTATCCCAATAAGTGACCCCCAGCATACGTGATCCCCCGCATACGTGATCCCCAACGGTTACCCCAGCATACGGTTATCCCCCAACACGGTTACCCCCCATACGTACCCACACCGGTGACCCCAGCATAGTGTATCCCAATCACGTAATAGATGTATACTACGTGTATCCCCCACTCAGGTTATCCCCCCCACACGTGTATTCATGTGATCCCCCACATCACGGGTATCCCAATAGGTGTAATCAGGTTAAGCATCAGGTATCCCAGATATTCCCAACTGTATCCCCCATCCGTGTATCCCAAATATCCCTCCTTTACCTAGTGTAAAGATCACGGGTTCAACATAGTTATATTATAATCAGGTACCCAATAGGATCCCCAGCATACTTATACATACTGTATATAGGTATTACCATCATGTATCCCAGAATGACCCCCGATCACGGTTATCCCCTCCGGTTATCCCCCCAGCAATGTATCCCCACTCCGTGTATCCCACATAGGTCATCCAGACAGGTTACCCCCCACATAGGTGTATCCCCAGATCCGTGTATCCCCCAGACAGGTGTATCAGCATACGTTATCCCAGATCAGTATCCCAATACTGTACCCCACACACGGGTACCCCCAGCATCACGGTGTATCCCCCAGCATCACGGTTTCCCCCAGCATCACGGTGTATCCCCCAGCATCACGGTGTATCCCCCAGCATCACGTGTATCCCCCAGCATCACGGTGATCCCAGATCACGGTGTATCCCCCAGCATCACGGTTCCCCAGCATCACGGTGTATCCCCCACATCACGTGTATCCCCCAGCATCACGGTGTATCCCCCAGCATCACGTGTATCCCCCAGCATCACGTGATCCCCCCGCATCACGGTGTATCCCCCAGCATCACGGTGTATCCCCCCAGCACACGGTGTATCCCCCAGCATCACGGTGTATCCCCAGCATCACGTGTATCCCCCAGCATCACGGTGATCCCCAGCATCACGGTGTATCCCCAGCATCACGGTGTATCCCCCAGCACCACGGTGTATCCCCAGCATCACGGTGTATCCCCCAGCATCACGGTGTATCCCCCAGCACACGGTGTATCCCCCAGCATCACGGTGTATCCCCCAGCATCACGGTGTATCCCCCAGCATCACGGTGTATCCCCCACATCACGGTGTATCCCCCCACACACGTGTATCCCCAGCACAGGTGTATCCCCCAGCATCACGTGTATCCCCCACTCACGTGTATCCCCCAGCATCACGGTGTATCCCCGCATCACGGTGTATCCCCCAGCATCACGGTGTATCCCCCAGCATCACGGTGTATCCCCAGCATCACGGTGTATCCCCAGCTCACGGTGTATCCCCCAGCACACGGTTATCCCCCCAGCATCACGTGTATCCCCAGCATCACGGTGTATCCCCCAGCATCAACGGTTATCCACCCACATCACGGTGTATCCCCCAGCATCACGTGTATCCCCCACATCACGGTGTATCCCCCAGCATCACGTGTATCCCCCAGCATCACGGTGTATCCCAGCATCACGGTGTATCCCCCAGCATCACGGTGTATCCCCCAGCATCACGTGTATCCCCCAGCATCACGGTGTATCCCCCAGCACACGGTGTATCCCCCAGCATCACGGTGTATCCCCAGCATCACGTGTATCCCCCAGCATCACGGGTATCCCCCACATCACGGTGTATCCCCCAGCATCAGTGTATCCCCCCCAGCATCACGGTGTATCCCCCAACATCACGGTGTATCCCCAGCATCACGGTGTATCCCCCAGCATCACGGTGTATCCCCCACATCACGGTGTATCCCCAGCATCACGGTGTATCCCCCCAGCATCACGGTGTATCCCCCAGCACACGGTGTATCCCCAGCATCACGGTGTATCCCCCAGCATCACGGTGATCCCCCAGCATCACGGTGATCCCCCAGCATCACGGTGTATCCCCCAGCATCACGGTTATCCCCAGCATCACGGTGTATCCCCCCACATCACGGTGTATCCCCAGCATCACGGTGTATCCCCCACACACGGTGTATCCCCAGCATCACGGTGTATCCCCCAGCATCACGTGTATCCCAGCATCACGGTGTATCCCCAGCATCACGTGTATCCCCCAGCACACGGTGTATCCCCCCGCATCACGGGACCCCCAGCATCACGGTGTATCCCCCACATCACGTGTATCCCCCGCATCACGTTATCCCCCACATCACGTGTATCCCCAGCATCACGGTGTATCCCCCCAGCATACGTGTATCCCCCACATCACGGTGTATCCCCCAGCATAGTGTACCCCCAGCACACGGTATCCCCCAGCATCACGTGTATCCCCCAGCATCACGGTGTATCCCCCAGCATTACGGTGTATCCCCCAGCATCACGTGTATCCCCACACAGTGTATCCCGATCACGGTTATCCCCCAGCATCACGGTGTATCCCAGCATCACGGTATCCCCCAGATCACGGTGTATCCCCCACATCACGGTGTATCCCCAGATCACGGTATCCATATCCCCAGCATCCACGGTGTATCCCCCAGCATCACGGTGTATCCCCCGCATCACGGTGTATCCCCCAGCATCACGGTGTATCCCCCAGCATCACGGTGTATCCCCCAGCATCACGGTGTATCCCCAGCATCACGGTGTATCCCCCAGCATCACGGTGATCCCCCAGCATCACGGTGTATCCCCGCATCACGGTGTATCCCCCAACTCACGTGTACCCCACACACGGTGTATCCCCCAGCACACCCCACACCGGTGTATCCCCCAGCATCACGGTGTATCCCCCAGCATCACGGTGTATTCCCCCAGCATCACGGTGT